TAATAACAATGCCAGGGTGCTGGCATTGTTATTATTATTGCATCGATATTGTTGAGCTCGTCTTTTTTATTTTACCTGTGTTTCTTTTTAAGTTCATCTGCATGGAAAATTAAGAACTTACTTTAAAATCTTAGCCTAAAACAGGTTCTTATGTAAAGGGGTCTAAATGGGAAATTTTAGCCTAACATGTTCTTAAAATCTATGTTCTTATACGCGGGTTTTTACTGTACTGTACCTTAATCACTATACTTGTATAGACTGCTGAAGTTTTTTTTTCTGGTATCTATTTTTTCTTCATGTTGTCTTAATCACTTTACTACTACTAGTACAGAATATATATGAGATTTTTTTTTGTATATATATTTTTCTTCATGTTGTATAGCATTGTAATTGTACTGTATCCGTCAGAAATTTTATCATTTTAACTACTCAACACTATTGCTTTTATCAGATTTTTTCTCCATGAAAAAAACTGTCGTCAGTACATGTATTTGTATCTGAATTCATGCAATAAGATTTAATAATAATAAAAAAAGGTTGCCGCGCAGTCTGCCGATCACTAGATTGCGCAGATCGGAAGATTGCACGTAACATATTTACATATATATGTTCTGGTAATATTATAACTGGGTTTTCTTCAATTCGAATTTTTAAACTTTCTATTTACAGCTATTTATTAAGAGTTGCTCTTATTCTAATGTGTAGTAGTACTGAATTGCAAGGATCAGTGAAAGTGTAGATGTAAAGCTTCAAATGGCAGTTGCAATGAAAATAAATGAGATTCCTTCCCAATAGTAGTAATATTTTAAGATTCGAACCATGATATGTAGTAATTAGCAATGTTATTTTTTCAGATTTTACAGAAATGATGCGAGCACTGGGTTATCACAGGCTCATATCACTGGAAAACTTTCGCTCACCAAATTTTCCTCTTGTAGCCGAGGTACTACTGTGGCTTGTACGCAGGTGAGTGTTGTCGGAACACATACAGTGTTGTCTAACTGCAACACTTACTAGCAGTGATTCTGGAAAATACCCCATACATAAAGGTTTGTGGTATCACATATAAGACCAAAAATAGTTCCTGACAAACTGTTCTAATTATTGTGTCAAAAAATACCACCACTTAATATGTGTTCATCCGTGATGCTGCAAACACTATTGGAATATGATGTCTATGAGGAGAGGTTATGTGGACATCAGTGTAGTCAAAAAGTAAGAACTCTCACGAGTGTGTACAGTACTGGTATTGAATTGTGTTGAACTTTTCATTTCAGGTTTGAGCCAAATGCAGAGAGCCTGACTGATATTGACACTGAGCAGGACCGTGTAATGTTTATCACATCAGTAGCACAGTTTATGGTAAGATGGTCATATAACACATTGTGCTGTTCTAGTATGATTGTTTACATAAAATAATGTTTTTAGCTCATCTGACGAAGTCGGATGGAGCTTGTAGAATCGCATGAGCGTCCGTCCGTGATCCGTGTGTCCGTGTGTCCGTCAGCAGTTGGGCACAAATCTTAACCGCTCGACGTACGGTCACGATATTCGGGACGTCGGGGGGATCGTGAAAAGGACTCGGGATGACCAGTTTGCGGGGTCAAGGGTCAAAGGTCAAGATGTGTCAACGGAGGGGGAATATTTCCCCCTTAACTTAAGGTATAGGAGGAAATACGGAATTGCGCCACAAATCTGAATGTATGCTCTTAATATTCGTGTATAGTGTGATGGGCAGGAAACCCATCACCAGTTGCGAAATTGGAGGTCAACAGGTCACAAGGGCCAGTGGGGGAAAGGTCAGATATCAGACATTTTCTCTGAGGACATGGCCTAATTGACAGAGTGAAAAACTTTTTTGTTTCAGCGCTGACTACCATGTTTTATCACTTTATTGAAAGGACCATGAAAGTGCTTTCCACTGACGTGCGAAAGAGTAAGTGATAACCTTTTGACCCTCAAGAGGAGGGTTAAACATGGATTCGTTGACTGTTAACAAAGGACTGAACTGTGTTTGATGGTACTTGTGTGATCGTGGAAGACTTAAATTTCACGATGAAATTCTGCATGCAAAACTTACTTGAACAACGTTTACGCGCCTTAAATCATATATGAACTTCATTCTCTATATGACATTCTGCACGTTGGGAATACAATGTCAATAGCACTTACGCAAACGTCTGTTTTTGATTAAGGCCAACTATAAATAGGCCTACTTCGCAGGTGGGTGGCTGATAGTATCACAGCATGGGCTAAACGAAGGTAGCAACTTAGTTCGGATAATCTATTCCCTGCACCTAGTCAGTATGCACGCCATCTATCGGAACAGAGTGGGAACAATGTCCCGGCAGGATAGGTCAAATGTATATTGCGCACAAAAGTGCAGAAAGAATTACTTTCCTAACTTAGTTTAACCAATCTTGAGATAAGTAATTGCAGAAATGAATTGTCAAACCTACTAATGAAAATTTGCCAGTTTTGTACTGTCCTTGGCATGGCTCTCTCCGTCGACGTTACAGTAGTGTGCAATGTCGGGATATGGTAGAGCATGCTGGCTTGTGGACGCTGCAGAGCCCGATGGTTGACTGTCAGTCGAAATGTGTTGATCCTCCCGGACATTGAAGAAATCTGTACGTTATACGTGCGTCTGCCTTACCTCTGCCCGCCATCTTCGTCGAAAGTTTGGACGCCGCGCCGCGAAATCGAAATGTACATTTCAATCGATGACGTAACTGATACAGTAGCGCGCCGCATGAGTGTTATTTGTTTATAAACAATTTAGTCTGACTGACTCTCTCCCTCTCGCTCCTCTCGCCCGCTCTCTCTCTCTCTCTCTTTTTCTCTCTCTCTCGCTCTCTCTGCAATAAAAAAAATGTTTACTGAAATGATGTGTACGCAACTGCGTATCTGCGCTTAACAAAGGTGTCACTACGCACGACTGAAATGTTATGTTTATAACCGTAGCAACAGATCTCAGATGAGCCCAGTCGCTCTGCGGCTCTTGTTTAATGTTAAATCACTTCTTTATAAAAAATGTTAGTTTAAAAACAATCACTCAAATTCTTTCTGCGACAAAAACGGTTATGGGTTGTGAGGGCTTACATGATTATTCCTGTATGTTTAGCTACTTACTAATAGCTTAACATATATTATTTTGCAGCACAGTAAAGCACACATCAAATTGAACACAAAGAAGTTGTATATGGCAGATGGTTATGCAGTGAGAGAGCTGTTGAAAATTACATCAGTGTTGTACAATGCAATGAGAACCAACCAGGGCAACCAAGATGCTAGCAGTGATGACGATAACGTATCAGCAAAGTTCAAATTCGACATCACAGGAAAGGTATATATCACACATACCTCATGTTACTTTCTTTTTTTTTCAATACGACGAATGCACAAATTTATAGTGGTTGCTGGAGATTAAAAAAAAGTCCACCGCTTGGCAATGGCTCGTAAACTCTAATGTACTGACCTTTTTCCCCGCATTGATTCAGGAAATGTACAGGGAAATAGCTAGTTGTGTCATGGCCGTAATTGAGTTATTTTATTAATCTATTGTACATGTGCATGATGTGTATCAGGAGTAGATAATAGGGAAGGAGTGTGACTTCAATAAACAAGGGAAGTTTGTCATTTACTAGCCTTAGAATATCTACGATTTACTACGCGTAACTCAACCAACTTAAGCTCAAATCGTACACAGTACATTCGCCTAGCATCGTGCGAAATCGTTTCCTCGTATACACCAGCAATCCGGAGATACAGACTAAAACGTATGACACGATTATCCATTCTTTGGCCATCAATCCGAACGTATTGTCCGCCGAACTTGAAACAAAAGGCAGCTACTAACGCACTCTTGCTCACTCGGCGAGGCGGTGTGGCTCGCTGGGAGATTGGACATCGACGCAACACTCGGCGAGATAACCTTTGACCCGGCACACAGCTACATACCGGCATACCGGCATACAGCTGGTATGCCCCCACGCACGCACGCCTACCGCAATCAGCAGCAGCTCCAGCTCCATGTCAAAGGTTATCTCGCCGAGTGTTGCGTTGATGTACAATCTCCCAGCGAGCCACACCGCCTCGCCGAGTGAGCAAGAGTGTGCGTTAGTAGCTGCCTTTTGTTTCGAGTTTGGCGGGCAATACGTTCGGATTGATGGCCAAAGAATGGATAATCGTGTCGTACGTTTTAGTCTGTATCTCCGGATTGCTGGTGTATACGAGGAAACGATTTCGCACGATGCTAGGCGAATGTACTGTGTACGATTTGAGCTCAAGTTGGTTGAGTTATGCGTAGTAAATCGTAGGTATTCTACGACTAGTAAATGAGAATTTCCCTTGTTTATTGAAGTCACACTCCTTCCCTATTATCTACTCCTAATGTGTATCACTATCAATCATATATACTATTACTACACATATTTCTGATTTCTAGATTAATGACTTGAAGTTATCCAGACAATTGGCCTCCGAAATAACCACAAAGGGTGCCTTTCTGTATGACCTATTGGGAAAGGAGGTGGAACTTAGGGTGAGATACATTTATACAAATCTACTGCGCTGATTCAGGTGAAATATCACGTATTATTGCAATGTGTTACGTTCTCAATTTCTACTTTATCTGCCATCAGTAGAAAAATAAATATCTAAATTGGCATTTGTTTGCTTGCTTTATTTAATGTTTTTGTGAGATTTCACAGCCTATTAAAAATTTGCAATATTAAATGTTACAGGAAATACGATCATCAGCTATTGCCCAACCTCTAGATATCAATGAAGTTGAAAAAGGACTTAGAGGGGCAATAAAGAATGTACAAGTGAGTTGGCTGCAGAATATTGTTATAAATAATTTAAAGAGGGTTTTAATACTAATGATTTCAATGATTTAATCAGTGAGAAAATTGACATAATGAAATCATGTAAATAAGGTGACATCTAGAGTTTCACAATATATTTATAAGTAAATATGAAGCTATTGATTGATCATTGCTACTCTTATAAGCCAATTTCATGCTCTGACTGCACATGTGCAGCTCGGTGGCATTTTGTAACCAGGTGGTTATAAAATCTTTTGGTCAACAAACAGACATCCCACCTTCTGTAATTACATAACCAGCTGGTTTGTTAATTGTGAAAATTATAGGTTTTTGGCTTTAATTCACAATTTAAACATGCCAGGTGGACACTGTACGTTATTGATGAATGTGTGAATGGTTTATACATATGTGAAAAATGGTGAAGCACGCACAGTAAAGCTTGTTATTGCAACTATGACCATAAATAAGTATTGATTGGCATATATATATATATGGTTGTAAAATTATGAGTCATGTACATATTGCTGAGTATAATTGCTTATCATTTTACTAGGAGGATATGGAGAAAACAACAGACATGCTGAATAATATAGCATCTAATGAAGCCAACTTAGATGCAAAGATAGAGAAGAGAAAATCTGAGCTGGATCGCAACATGAAGCGGTTGCAAACACTACAAACTGTTAGGTACTGATTCTAGTTTCCACGTCGATAAATACTCGCGTGAGAGTACATAAAACAGATGCTCATTTGACATTGCACGTAGTTACAACGTGCTGTCCGTGCGTACCCCTCTCATTTGATAGTCCTGTCCAACATGCTGTTCATCTCGTTCGTTTAAATTAAAGATGTTTGACTGCATTGAAATATTACCGAGCACTCTTTTACGTGTACCGGTACAATATAGGGTAGAATTATTCGAGAAATACACAAGCAAGTGTGTGTATACACTGGGCTTTTCACCTTTTGTCTGCGTATTTTACAGACCAGCATTCATGGACGAGTATGAGAAACTGGAGAGTGAATTGGAGGGAGTGTACCAGTCATATGTAGACAAGTTTAGAAATGTTGCATACCTCGAGAACCAGCTAGAAGAGTACAACAGGCTCGAGCAAGAACGCTTTGATGTACGCAGCTCGAGATTATACAAATTACTTGAATTTGATTGTGTCACGCTTTATAACAACTTAGTGTTAATTTAATAAGAGTTACGTCACGTGAATAATCGATGTAGGAATTTGGTTTATTCGAGTAGGGGCTTCAAATTCAATCTGACCCAATTGTGACTTCCGTCACATCTATTTAATTGTGCGTTATTAATAGTCTCTTGTCATTCATGGTAAACAATGTCTGCTCAGGAAGCTGAATCAAAGCTTAAAGCGATGGCACAGAGGGTGCAGGACGAAGACAACAAACTGGCTACGTCTGGCAACGAGAGCATGTCAGTGGACTTAAATAACATTGACAATGACGATGATATTCTAGGTAAACTAGTCTTCTTATTGACCTGCATGGTAATAAGTTTTAGACCACCTAAAATTCCAGTAGAGCACCGAGTAAATATGCAAGTTATAACTATCTAAGTTAATAAACATTCAGTGATTCAAATTTACATGTGTTAGATATCTCTCCACTGGTGGTAATTTGTGTATGGGTATCACAAGTATATATATATATATATATATATATAATATATACTATTACTTAAGTTAAACATGGATTTGTTTACTGTTAGAAAGAATTTGACTGCCGGGTTTGCTAGTAGAATCTATACATGCCTGGATGTATGAGGCTACAATGTCACAGTGAAATTTCAAAAGCTAAATTTGTTGAAGAAGGTTTATGCTCCTTAAATCGTATAATTTCTATGGCATTCTGTACTGTCAGTGGTGTTACATGTAACTTATGCCACTGCCAGTGGCCACTGCCAGTGCATGTAGTGGTGATAGTACTGGTGTAGTTTTTGCCTGCGTTAATTCGTTAA